CCCCCCCCCCCCCCCCGGACTGGCCATTATAATTGTCTAAATGCGTAAGATTTTCCTGTATTTTATTCAGACATTTGTTGGTTACAGTACCTGCAGCATCCACTGACCTCGACAAGAAACATTCCTTCTCAACTTTGCTGCTAAATCCCACAGAAAGAATTGACAGCGTTATGCAAACAGTAAAAGGGACAATCCTCCAGCCTGACAAAGATGCAGAACTTGCTGCCTCAGGAGGGAAAAGGGCACTAAAAATGCAAAAAAAAGGGCTTTTCTCTGAAACACTCACTCCTTCACAAGATTCAGCTGCTTTTGTCTCCAGGTTTCTGGAGTAAACATCACTGAACGCCAGATGAAACTAAAGGATAAGCTTACCAAAACTGCCGCAGCGGCTGCTTGCTGGTCCACGCTGGTTTTGCAGTACTGACTAAGTTCCTCATGTTAAACAGCATCTTCCCTTCCCGTTAGACTTCTCCCAGCCCCACAAACACGGTGAACAGAAATGGAGGCGCGTGAAGCCGCGAGTGAACCGTGCTGCTGTGCAAACGAGGGAAAACCGAGAACCAAAGTCTTGGCTCCGGCTGATCCCAGCCGGGGCTGGGCTTTGCCTGGGTCAGACTCTGCAGGGAGAGATGTTCTCAGGGGCCCCACCGCACCACTCGCAGCTTGCGCTCCTCTCCGTGGGCCCATCATATCGTACCTGTGTCAATACCATTTCGTAGCAGTTTTGTGTTCGTTAAATATTTGTACAAGGGCATGTGCTAGTAGGAAAAGGCAAAAGAAGATTTGTCGGGGCGCAGTACAAGCAGGGCGGCTGCCTTGGGGACGGTACCGTGCCCGCGGGGGCTCCCCGGCCCCAGCACGACAAGAATGCAGAAGGGTACATTAAAAAATGCATATTTTCCTGGGGTTTTTTTGGACGTAGTTTTCAGTTGTGCTATGGCAGCGTTAAGCAGCCCTTGGCGAGGCCCAGAAACTTAAACATTGCAGCCTGCAAAGCTCCTTACATTACATTGCTTGCTGTGTAACCTGACGTCGGTCAGTTGCTAAATACTAAAGTGATTTCATTTAAATTTCTACCTTCAAATGTAACTGTCAGACAAGGTTTTATGCCACCCGCACTGCAGGTGGTTTTGAAATTC